GGACATGAAGGGCTTGCGGCACGGTCATCCTTGACTGTTGGCACACATTCATTGCTGGCGAGTCGATTCTGGCTCATTGTCACCATATACTCATTTGGGTAAAATTAAATCTGATGATGATTTTCAGGAGATACAATGGCTAGTGAAAATCTGCCCGCCAGTGTGGTTGTTCATTGTAAGAAAGGATGGATGGAATTTGGTGTTCTGAAAGAGAATGCTCTTAAATATATTTATTCATTGTATTGTATTAATTCAACCGATGCCCATAGTGAGTATACTTGGTGGCATTACCTACGAGCTGCAGCTGGTGGGTATAGGGGTCAGCAAGCAGTTCAAGACTTTTCTGAGACGCAAGTAGAATGAATGTATGCCATCTGAGATTCATGAATTCACACCATCAAAACTGTGGCAGTGGGTGACATTTACAGAGGTCTACAAATGCGTGCCTTCTGCATGGGGAGAAATGGCCCCATAAACCAGCCATAGAGGCTTCAGAAAGGCTGAAATCGTGTGCTAGCAGAATACTGATGACATAGATGAAGACATCAAAGGTCGTAAGAACGAGAGTGTCATTTCTGAATCCCATGGCTCTGAGATGCTTCAGTATTGATGGGGATGAGGGATCCAACTTAGGAGCATTCCTGAAATTGGATGATGACAATGAATGAATGAACGAAAGTGGTGTATTTCAAGATGAAATTTCACTTTTTTCTGCTGACTTATTAGTTGATTTCTTACGTCTGACATCACCTTTCAAGAATTAGTTAATAAATATCTGAATGGATTTGGGACTCGTGCATAATTTTAGCCCCAATCTAAGAATAATTCATTCTTATTATAAGGTCCATCTGAGTGAAGGGGTGGTTCTCAACCATAGCCTGCGTGTCTAACCCTTCTCCAGCCCTTTGGAGCATAACGTGACCCCTTGCCTTCTCAGAACGTCTCCCAGAAACCTTCCCCCACTCTTCACCATTCCGCTGGTGCCCCAGCCAACCGGGGAGAAGGGCGGGCTCCGTTTAGACATAACAATTTATTTCTGCCCCAGAGTTTATTAACACGGGATTCCTTTGGTCTCTCTTGCTTTGATTTTCTTCACCTTCTCATGTGGCCACAGGTCCAACTGTCTCTTCCCCTTTCTCCCTCTCTCTAGCGCTCGCCCCTTTCCTGCTTTCACCTATTCTCTCTTTAGTCTGCCCCCTTTACTCTCATCCCAATCCAAACACCCTGGCAGGTCGTTAACTCTAATAAAACCTGTTAATGAAAGCCCACGCTCTGGGTCCGCTTGGTCCG